ACGAGGTGACAGCCGGTGTTCCTCAAGGCTCGGTACTGGGCCCTCTGCTTTGGAACACGATGTATGGCGGTGTTCTGAAGCTCCCACTGCCGAGCAGCACCGACATTGTGGGCTTTGCGGGTGATGTCGCGCTGGTTTTGGTGGCCAAGGAAGTTGCGGCAGTGGAGGCAGCTGCAAACTGCGCAATTCGAGCAGTGGAGGAGTGGCTCGCAGTGGCGGGCCTAGAGCTGGCCTCACACAAAACTGAAGCGGTGCTGATTTCAAGAAGAAAAGCAGTGGAGTCGGCGCATATTCAGATCGGAGGGTCAACGATAACTTCTCAGCGTGCCATAAGGTACCTGGGAGTCATGCTGGACACCCGCCTCTCCTACCGCTAACACCTGGAGTTCGTAAACAAGAAGGCAAGCGAAACCACAGGATCGCTCTGCAGGATCCTGCTGAATACCAGGGGACCGAAGCAGGACAGACGCAGGCTCCTCGCGACTGTTGTCAAGTCGCAGTTGCTGTACGCTGCTCCAGTGTGGGCTGAGGCCACTGCTGTGAGTAGCTACATGCGAGGTGTTAACTCGACGTACCGCCTGTGCGCCGTTAGAATTTCGAGTGCCTTCAGGACGATCTCGGACGAGGCAGCCCTTGTCATCGCAGGCCAAGTTCCCCTGTGTGAACTGGTGCGGGAGGCCAAGGACATTCGCGCGGCTCTAGCAGGCGAACAGGCGGACCACAGTACCAAGACCGAGGTGAAGAGAAGGGCCAGGATGCAGAGCGTCGTCAACTGGCAGGCAGCCTGGGACACCTCCAGCAAGGGTCGCTGGACGCACCAGCTCATCCCCAGCATAGAGCCATGGCTAAGTAGGAAGGACGGCCAGGTGGATTTTTACCTCACGCAGGCGCTGAGTGGACACGGCTGCTTCCGAAGCTTCCTTAAGCGCTTCGGGCACGACACGGAGGACGGTTGCCCAGAATGCGGCAGCGGCATTGTCGAGGACGCTCAGCATGTCCTTTTTGAATGTCGCCGCTTTGGCTATGACCGCCAGATACTCATGGAGACCACCGGGGCAAGATTTCGGCCAGAAACTTTTGTGCCCCTCATGTTGCTGAAGGAAGCGAATTGGGAAGCGACGGCAGCCTACGCAGCGAGCGTACTGCGAACGCTGCGTCGCACCGACAACGAGAGGAGAGAAGCTACAGCCTAGGTGGCTACCATTGCGCGAAGCAATACCTTGCGGTGATACCGCGCAACCACGGCCCCCTATTCCTGTTCTAACTCACTTTTACTTGTACATAATTGTAGGGAATAAATGAATATAAAAAAAAACAAGGAAGAACGCTATAGTCGAGTACCTCGACTATCAGATACCCGTTACTCAGCTAAATGGAGATATGCAAGCAGCAAAGCGAGACTAAAATGCGCCACCTACCGGCGGTATACAGTTTTAAGCGTTTTGGGCGTTAGAGTGGGCGTGGCAAACATTTTTTTTTGGTCAATCGATAGGTATTGACGATAAAAATACATTTCAGTTAAAATTTTTATTCTAGCATCAAAACTGTAGGAGCCACAGTTTTGGGCGGTTTGTGGGCGTTAGAGTGGGCGTGGCACTCTACAAACTTGCGCTGCGCAGGAATCTCAGGAATCTGCGTGCCTAATCCCAGTATTGTAACTCTCATAGTTTCCGAGATCTCAGCGTTCATACGAACAGACGGACAGACGGACAGACGGACATGGCTAGATCGACTCGGCTAGTGATCCTGATCAAGAATATATATACTTTATGGGGTCGGAAACGCTTCCTTCTGCCTGTTACATACTTTCCGACGAATCTAGTATACCCTTTTACTCTACGAGTAACGGGTATAAAAAGGCTTTATGTATTTATTTCTTTGGTTGCAAAAATGTGCACTGAAAAGAAAGAATATACTTTCCCATTCACACACACACACACACAAACACACACAAACACACACAAACTTAAATAGCTTATAAAAATAGTAAAGTCCGATCGAAGAACAGCAGGATACTGAGGGTAAAGATCCAAGCTTCCTGCAGTACCACTGAACTCCCCAGGCGGGGAAATGGCGGGCAGGGGATCGGGGGCACAACACCCTGGCGCTAGCCTAGGGCTTGGGCCAACCAATAGTGGAAGCACGCCGGCAAACAAAGGCCTGGCGGCGGCAGCTATTGCCGACGGCTTCCACACGCCTTTGTCCAGTCTACCTGACTGGGCCAACACGGGAGCTGACCCGTTTAAAAAAAGCAGTGCAATGGCGAGATCGCCAGAAAAAAGGGTGGAGTGCAGTGGCAGGCAGCCTGGCACCCCCCCAGCAGGAGAAAAAAACAGCCCAAAAGCTGCTGATGAGGAGCAGGGGGATAAGCTGAAACAGCTGACAGGCCTGGGACCGAAGGCCAGGGAGCTGAAGAAGCTGAGGGAAGGAAAGCGTTCCATAACAAACCCCATGAGGGATATAGTCGACGAAATTGTCTATCTCCAGAAGGAAGTCCTGTCGGCTGTGCAATGCATATTCGAAGAACAGGAAAAGGCTAAGGAGATAGCTATAAAAACCTGCGCAGACGTTCTCGCGAGCGGCACCAGCAAGCGACCCAGGGGTCAAGAAACTGGGATGACGTTAGCGGTACCAGCGAAAAAGGCGATGCATAAGGCACCGGCAAGTGATGCCAGTCAAGATGTAAATAAAGGGAAACATGCTGGGACAGTGGGCACCAGCAAGCCCCAAAAACTTGGGAAGAAGCCAGGGGAGTGGGCACAGGTGAAGCAGAAGGTTAGGAAGCCCAAGGTGCGACCGCCACGGAACGACGTGATAGTCGTCGCAGCCTCCGCTGGAGGGTCCTATGCCGACATCCTTAAAAAGGTTAGGGCTGAAACGCAGCTTAAGGAGCTAGGACAAGTAGTACAGGCCATTAGGCGCACAGCTAAGGGGGAACTCCTAGTCATTCTAAGCAAGGTCTCTGACCCTAAAACCGCAGAGCTTCAGACCACAATGAAGACTGTCCTGGGCAACAATGTTGACATCAGAGCCCTGACTGAGACAAAGCTTATCGAGGTAAAAGACATCGATGAGACCACCGACAAAACGGACATCCTATGTGCTGTTCAATCACAGTTCGATGTGGAACTGCCAGAATCCGCGGTGTAAATCTAAGGGTGGCATACGGAGGCACCCAAACCGCCACACTAAGAGTTATGCCCGACAAAGGGAGACGACTCTTGGAGAAGGGCAAAATTAGGCTGGGATGGACCTGGTGTAGAGTCCGCCCAAAGCTAACACCTAAAAGGTGTTTTAAATGTATGGAGTTTAACCATATAGCAGGGTCCAGGAGGACTGCTCAAAATGCTGCTACAACTGTGGTGCAAAGGAGCACCAAGCCAGAGGCTGCAAAGCAAAGGGCTGCTGCATGCTATGCAAACGCAAGAAGGAGAAAGATTGCGATCACCCAACAATGAGTGGGAGATTACCGTACTTCAGGAGGGCTATGCAAGGGCTTATGGATAAATGAAGTCTCTTCAGATAAACCTAAACCATTACGAGGTTGCCCAATCGTTGCTGGAGCAAAATGTCATCGAGAAAAACGTAGACATGGCACTCATAAGCGAACAATACAGGAAGAGAATGGGTAACAAATAATAGCAAAAAATCGGCAATATGGAGCTGCGGTAATCCAAGGCGACAGATTAGCAAGAAAAAATACGGAAATTGCTTCGCTAGGGCCCATGTGAATGGTATAGCTTTTACCTGCCTTCAATATCTGCGCTCGAGAGATTGCAGAAGACGCACGGGAAAATCGCCCCGCCGTAATGCCTGGGCTACGGAGTGGGGCTCCCCCCAAACCAACGCGAGGGGAAAGGCGCTACTTGAGAGCTTCGCCGCACTTGACCTAGTGCTGCTGAACTCTGGAACAAAGCCGACTTTTTCAAGAGCCGGCACCAGTTTTATCAATGACCTCACACTTGTAAATGCTGGATTGGCCTCGGGCTCCAGCTGGGAGGTTAGTGACACCTACACGGGTAGTGACCATGCAGCAATAATCTGCACGATAAATTCTAGAAGTGGCCCACCACGAGTTCCGTGCCAGGGTACAAAATAGAAACGCTAGACGTGGAGATGGTACAGAAGTTGTTCGAGGACCTCTCCACAAGCGGTTCAGCTGAAGAAAGGGCAAACCACTTCGCAGAATACACCAAGGTAGCCTGTGATGCATCTATGCATAGAAAGGGAAAATCCCATCAAGAAGAAGACCTGCATACTGGTGGAACCAATCCATTGCGGAGGCCAGGAAAGACTGCCACAGGGCAAGACGCGCATACCAACGCTCAAGAGGGAGGCCCGAATTTGAGAAACTTCAAATATATTTCAGGGAAAGAAGACGAGGAAAAATCTATAAAAGAGAACAAACGCAGGTGCTTTAACAATATATGCGAAGAAATAGACTCCAACCCATGGGGCTTCGCATATAAGCTCGTTAGGATGTAAAAACACAAACAGCACCACACACTAAATGCACTGAGCAACCTAAATGTACCAGTGTATACACAGAGAGTAATAGCGAGCTACTTCGAAGGCCGCCTGCTCCTGTACGTAACTGATTCCGGGCAATCGACCCACAGGGTCACCGGGGAAGTTCCCCAAGGATCAGTCCTAGGCCCTTTGTTATGGAATGCCATGTTCGATGGGATTCTTAGGATCACGATAACCGAAGGGGCACGACTCATTGGTTACGCGGATGACATGGCCATAGTAGTTACGGCAAAGAAACTCCCAGATGCGGAAAGAATCTGCAACGAAGCGCCGTTGCAACCGCCCATTGAAATTGTGAAATATTTAAAACCACCCATTCAATATAATGATAGAAATGAGCAAAAATTCAATACATATAACTGTGGTCATTTATGTTTAAAATTTTTATTTCGAAAAATTAAAATGAAATATATTTGCATTAAATAATAATACAATTTTTTTTTATTTTTAGCTTAATGTCTATGTCTATGTCTTTATGACCCCATGCAAGGGTGTCTATATTATTCTCTTTTACATAGCGCTTATCATCTAAATAGTTTAGGGTGACTTTTGTATACTCTTGCGTATAAATTTGATGTAATTTCGATTTAAATAAGTACCTTGTTCCAACTTGCTTTGTTCTTTTATACAAGCAATCTCGAAAATCGTTAATAGTTAATTTAGACGTCCCACTCGCCTTTACTCCTTTAATTTTTTTTGATCTCCGTTGTTTCAGCATTATTTATATTAGAGATTTCTATTGAATACATTTTAGCTCTGAGCCCAATAAATTCTTTTATTATATTCCCCCTGCATTCATCTTGCATCATACCTAATTTTTTTTTGTTTATCAATGGTAATTTAAAAACATTAACTTTATCATATTCTGAAGTATCGAAATGCTGATCAATTTCAAAACGAATGTCATCATAAAAATCTATAGTCTTAATATCATAGATAAAAGAATCAGTATACATATACATTAAATTGATATTTTCTTGATATTTGGGCTTCATATAGTCATAGTGAAAATTGTACATTTTAAATTTTGATAATTCTAGAACGGTGAAGCCAATATAGACAGGCTTATCAAAGAGAACATGCACTTTTTTCATTTGAATTGCAAACAAATCATCGGCTAATTGTAATATATTCCTAAAATTAAATTTTGAGATAAGTGCCCTAGCTCCCAATTTTTTACCATCACTCTCCCATCTGTACACTAATTTAATAACTTTTCTCTTGTCAACATTCTCTATAGTCTTGCCATAGACTGCATTGTTTAGCAGTTTGAAAAAATTCCTTTCAAAATCATTAACAGCCAATGTTCTGTGATGATTATTGCAATCAATATATTTCTTAAGCCAATCAGATTGATCAAATTGTAATATTCGATGAATTTTCTTTAAAATCAAGACATTGTTGTAAATTTCTATAGTGAATTATATAATTATATTTGTTTGTCGAGTCTGCAATCAATCTTGATTGTTGCATATTTTCATTTTTTTGTTTTGCGAACAAAATGGTAAGTCATTGTGCTGGCTGTGTAAGTTTTCAGTGTATTCCAAATCTACCTCTAAAATATAACCAATTGATTGATCATCTACGCACGTGCTTAAATCAAAATTTTCAAAATTTCCCTCTTCTGTTTTTTCTAGCCATTTAAAATTTTTATGTGGAATAGCTTGTGACATAGCATACCCATATAAATTATTAACATCTAAGTATACAATATAATTTGATTTTTTCTCACAGTCGTAATCGTTATTTATATATTTGTTATTTGCAATAGAATGACGTTTACTACATTGAACAAGACCGCCTCTAATACCTTTCTTTATAAAATTATACATATCAATATCTGTGAGTAGTTCTAATTCAATTTTAGTTGTCTTCAACATAGCATCCCAAGATAGACCAGGAGTTGTATAATATTGACAAGGATCTAAATTATAGATTTTTTTACATACTTTTCTAAAATTCTCAAAGACATCACCTAGCAACAAAACATCTACCTTCAAACATAACAATAAATAATCTAATAAATTTGTGCACTCGAAGGCATTCCAAACGTTTTGAGCGTGCTGATAACTCTCTTCAGAACGGTGTCTATCAGTTAATTGATTATAAAAATTTTCGCGCGACGGTAATTGTGTATCTGACAAGCGTTCAAATGAATTTAAGTAGCTATACGGAAATATGCCTTTACTTTTAACCATTTGAAATTTGTTGGAGTCCGTGAAAAATGACTTTATTGTGGTTAGATTTTCTTCTTTTAAATAACTGGCTAAGCTGTCTAAACTGGAAGGCATAAATCTAAATGAATCTAAAAATCGAAGTTCTAGAATTTCATTGGGATTTATATAAATTTTCTTTGAGATCGATATATAAAACTCTTTGTTTAGCGGAATTATAGAAATTTCACCAGGAATTTTAAGTAATTCTTTCATAAATAAATGAGCATCGTATGCCGAGAGATTATGGAAAAATATTGGGAAAAATGTTGCTAATTTATAGTTTAAATTGCAATTATTAAGAGCTACACCTCTATATTTGCCTGTTAAGTGACAATGATCTAGAACTCTTTTAGATTGATCAGTGAATAAATTACCGCATATACTACAATTTGGTTCTAGGTCAATTATTTTTTGTTGCTCTATTGATAGCGGATATAACGGTATCGTTACATTTAAGTAATTTTGATATAACATTAAACAATCGTTATATATGCTCTCAACAAAATGTGCTGCACAATCTTCACCATAATATATTCGATATATATCCAAACTATTGTCAAATGAACACTTTATATAATAACTATATGCATACGGTATATGCTTTTGAATTAAATTTACCTTATCCGAAGTTTTCAGATCCATCCCTTCTAAAATACACTCAAAATCAGCATATGCTACAAAAGGAACATCTAATTGATTTTTAAAATTTTTAAATCCTAAAATTGCCGTATCATTTGGGGGCATCTCAGTTATAATTCTATTACACTCCATAATGTGTCGTTCCAGTTTGTCGCTATCGTCGAAGTGTTGAAAACAGTCATTGCATAGAAGAATCTTCCCACTACTTTTCGTTATTTGTTTGCGAAGTAATCTAATGGAGAAGCAAAGAAATATGTATAATTTTTTTTTATCATTTTCTAATTTAATACTTACTTGGAAATATTTTTAATCCAAACATAGTGATATTTGTCATCCTTCTTGAGAAGTAGTAGATATATAGTGTGTAAGACGTTGCTAGTTTTATTATTAGTTAAATAATATGGACCGATGATTGTCTTTTCATCGCTGTCTACACCCAACACAGTTATACTAAGTTCAGGATTATTTTCTTCAAATATTTTTATGCTGTCGACCGGTGAGGGAAATTTTAACCCACTAAAATTTAACGATTTGTTATTTATATTTATTATATCCGACCTAATGTTGTAAATGCCTTTACGTTTATATTGATTAGGGCGATTCTTATTACCAGTAAATTTCACAAAAGCCGATATTTATGCCCATTTAAAACAATATTCGTCTCTATTTTGCACGTTGATGCAGGCTTTTCTATTTACTATTTCTCTTGGTAAACCAATGAAATTCGAGCCCTTTATTGGCTGATATTTATTTATATTAACTTCTAAATGAACTATTTCAATTAGGGACCAACCACTGTCTCGTTCTTGAAACTCGCTCATTTCACTTTTTATATAGTAATTTAAATTATTGATTATTTCATTTAGATTTTCAGTCTGACTCGTTGTTGGATTTAAGTCTTGCATTTTTGTTTGAAATGACTTTAGATTTATTTCACAATGATCTTCACTCTCTTTAATCAAAACATAATTACAGAATTGTTCAAAATTAAATTTGATATTGACGTGTTTTTTTTGAGCTTCTTGGAGTAGAGTAATCACTTGTTCTTTGGTTGATTGTTGAAATAATTTGATTTCCAAGCATTCTTTATTGTGATTTGTGATTATATAAGTTTTAATACGATTGCGAAATGCACTTCTTATACACAGATAATTGTTTATGCAAGTTGGTGTGTAAGTGATGCGACCAACTAGTGTTAGCAACATTTAGATTACAGACATCACAATTTCGTATTTCACTAGCGACAGGATTGTTACTAGGCCCAGGATTGTTATTGTTATGTAAAACACCAGCCATTTTTTGTTTTTAAATGTTAATTAAAGAAGTTTATTGATTTTAAGTTTTATTTCTCTTCTTCGTTATAAAAGTTTAGAGTATAATTATCTCCTTCCGATTGACGCTTGATTAGCTTGTAGCCCCCCGTCGCAATGTGCTTCACAGCTTTCGGAGGCAGCGAACTAAAGCGTTCTGGTAGGAATACCACAAAGTCTTCACACGTAAGCATAATTTTTTCCCCGAAGCGTGTCCGTTTTACTTCGGCGTTCTGTATCGGGATCGGCGTGTTGAACGGGAGAGCTTTAACACTCTTTATTGGGGGTAGAGGACGGCGCCAAGCTCGTTCCACTGATCTTCAAAGTTAGACATGCTGCTGATAGTGAATTACTCTAGTACTCTACATCTCATATTTATACTAGTTTGCGAGATAAAAAAGTCTGAGAAAGTTTGCGATAAATACTTATATTTAAATAAAAAAAAATACTTTTGATAGGTGATAACAATATATAAACAATGTTTCACGATAACAATAATATATATATTCCCTTCAAACGAGAGTTTGAGGGGAAGTGAGCGCAATCGCAGAGCAGAGTATTCTCAAACGAGAGTGCGAGGGACAAGTGGGATGGGAAGTGGGAGGGGAAGTGAGCGCGATCGCAGAGCGGAGCAGAATATTCCATAACATTCCAGAACATTCCCGACCAGCAGCAACAACTACGACTTCCGCTAGCGATAAGCGCCCGCACAACAAAAACAATTCTGATCCAGAACATACAATAAAAATTGATCCAACATACATATTCATCCTACTCGTGGGACGAGAAGGAAGCCTTAAACTTCTAATTTACATAAATAAAAACATTCGTTGAACATTTAATTTATTTTTATTTTAATTTCTTTGTTCCAATTGATTTGTTTTCCGTTTGGCAACCAGCCCAGCTGCTTGAAAGTTAGACCACGCCACTTCTATTGCGTGTGAACTTTGAAAACTTCGGTCACACTACAAAGAATAAGATTTTGCGACTAGTGAAACTCTTAGCCGATCTGAGTACTAGGCTTTAACAAAAACCCCGCCAAAACGTCTCACAGTGGTCGATTTAAGCGCCAGGTTGCTCGAAATTGAATTTTTTACTTTTAACAAATTTCAAAATTAGTTTGTCAGTCGATAGCTAAATAATTACTTAGCATATCGATAACAACCAAATCGATAGTTGCACTTTAAATTATCAGCTGTAAGCTTTTGATCACAACATTTGTTGAAACAACTGTTGAAAATACAATGTGTTCAGTTTAGGTACGTTTGCAAATTGTGCTGGAAAAGTTTTTTAAATATAATTTTTAACTGGTTTTTTTTGCTTTTTTTAATAATAAAGGTATGTATTTACATAATAATAAATGTTTTGTGACCTGTGGATATATGTTATATAAATAATTTAAGGTAAAACAAACAACTTTGGTATCTTCTTAAATGTGACTATTCTTTAACTTCTGTAGAGTATAAATTGTGACGTCGGCATTTGCTGTCGAATATACTAATTTATATGTTAATGTGGTTCGTCTTCTTTGTGAAATGTCCAAGATCTGCCGCAGCCATCTGCAGCTCACAAAATGGTTTTTTTTAGAGACCGTGTCAGTCTGCAAGCGTAGTCTTTTTTCAGTATGGCGCAGCGAAAATGATTCTCGAAAAAGATGTTCAGCCCTAGAGAACTATATTTATTCAAATGCTATTGAAAAATCGAAATGCACTGAGGAGGAGCATGGCTTAATAGCTGAAAGCATTCAAAATTTTTGCAAAAGGCTTTCTGTAATGTGGAAAGAATGCCATAGAGTTTGGAAAATATTCAATCAGAAATACAAAGTTTGGTTTGACGAAGACTTAGGCCTTTTAAAACAAAATACTCACACAGGTTCAGGTCGAAAGCAAAAGAATTTTGCAGATTGCAGCGCAAAACGTCAGGTAACCAAAGTTTCGGAGCTAGTGAATGGGAACACATGCAATGAACTCATGACAGCGACACGCGTCAGTTTGTGCAAAGCTGGAAAACGGAGCGCTTCACAAATAGCTTCAATGGCAGTCACTGATTCCACAGCGTCTTCAAAAATCAAAAAGAGTCTTGAATCAGATCGACAGGTCCCAATTAAGTACACTCCAGACGAAGCTTTGGCCCTTTATATTGATGGAGACTTGACCAAGCACTCCTATAAACTTTTGCAAGCTAGTGCAAAAGAGAGAAACTGTAACATCTACCCAGCATACGATGTTTTACTATCTGCCAAAAAAAAATGAGGCCCACCCGGATATATTCTGGCAAATATCTGATAAAACAAATATGAAAGTTTGACTGTCTTTTACAAATGAGGATGCGATGGGAGTTCGGGACACTCAACCTACCGGCAGAGCTTTACCAATTCTGATCACAATATGGTAGATCAACATTTATTTGCTATTTGTATTGTGCCAATACAATTACGACGGGGAGGCAGCATACTCTGGAAAAATCCCCGGCCATCGTCAACACGATATTGTAGACCACTCAAAGTAATGTTTGCAAAGGAGTCTGAAGCTTTAGTTCGCGCCGAAATTGAAAATATTAAATCTCAAATTCTGAAAATTGAGCCCACCCGTCCCAGCTGTTTACAAGTTCAACACAATTTGCAGCTTACAATGATCGATGGCAAAGTATTCAGCGTGATTGCAGAGTGTTCTTCGCAAGCATGCGGCATATGTAAGGCCACGCTCAAAATGATGAATGACTTAGATCCCGTTGAGAGTTTGCCGAAATGCGAAGACTTATATGAATTTGGAATATCGACTTTACATGCCTGGATTTGCTGCTTTGAGTGCATGTTACATGTGGGATATCGACTTCCAATCAAAAAGTGGCAGGTCCGCGGCTTAGACAAGAACATTGTTAATAAAAGAAAAAAAGAGATCCAAGAAATAGAGCTGTAGAACAATCGATGGTGGGACCATCGATGGTTTTCGATTGTTTTAGAAAAACAATCGATGGACTATCGATGGTTTAAATAAAAATAAATAAATAAAAAAAAACGCCAAAAATTTATATTTTGAGATCAAATTCTTTATAAGTCAAAATTTAATATTAATAAATATCGTTTTTTTGCTCAAAGTACTGCCGCATTAGTATTATTGAGTCTGCCCTGTTTGATGTAACTTTATTAGACAGTTTACCTAGCAGGTAAGGATAAAAGCTTGGTTGTGGTGGTGCTGGAGCTGTGGAACTAGCATTCGAATTCATAGACAATATTTCGTAGAGCTTCAACTCCAAAGCCTTAGCAGCTTATTCAGCATTCGATGGTAGAAAAAAGCCTTCCTTTTTGAAGCGTGGATCTAGCAGTTTTGCAATTCTAGGGACAGTTCGTGATTCATAATGATAAAATCGTTCTTTGATACGAATTTTGATCAAGTCATGAGCATCCTGAGCCGCTTTCGAAGAGCACTTTATTAAATTCATTTTTTGTGATACAGTGACAGTTTTATCCGCTGAGGCTTGTTTGCTTGCATCATTAAACGGTGACATTATTGCGCACAGTTCTTTTAAAATCTCAATTTC